TGGAAGCATGTGATCACATTGTGAGCAAGAAGTCAGAGAGAACCAGGCATTACGCTTGCTCTTTTCTAACATCCACTCTCTTGGGAACTAACTCAAGACCAGCATTGATCCTTCTGAAGGCTATGCCTTCTTGACCTAATTAGCCGCCATTAGGTCCCACCTCTGAAAGGATTCCACTACCTCTCACTGACCATATCAGAGACCAAGTTTCTAGCACAGGAGCCCTTTAAGGACATACTCAAATCATATCTAAGCTTATCATACCTTCATAATAATTCTATAAGGTTCTCATACACAGATGGGCAAGAAATCCCTTTAGTAATCTGCTTTACTATATTGGGAGAATTTATACTTTTTTACTAAAAATATTTTCATTTCTAGGCCAAAGATTTTATATCTTATTCCATCATTGTTCAACAAAAGCCCAGAGGAGCATAAAATAATATTTCCAGGCATTTTTCATGAAGTTGATCATGGATGAAGAATCATCCCTTAAAATATTGTCCTGTGGGAAAAGCATGATATAAGATCAGATGTTCTGAGTTTGTCATAGCTTCCAACTACTACGTAGGTGGTTTTTGATAAGTCAGTTTGCTACACTCCAATCAACTCATGTATACAATGAAGGAAGCAACCTAATTCTTATGCACTGCCTCAAGAATTGGGTCAATGATTTTTATAGCTTAGTACCTTGCAGACCATCATCATTTATTAAGTAAATGATAGAATGGATGAATCAGTGAATGCACTTCCCAGTTTTCCTGCTATTCGTCTTTCCTGCTTTAAAACCTTTACATGTGTTTCTAGGCTCCCTAAACCCAGGTAATAACCAGATTAATTCTTTATAAATCTTAACACTACCGATGATTACATCTAGTATTAGTTCTCTACCTGCTCATTAACAGCTTAAAAAAAAAAAAAAAGTCTTGTAGCAGAAGGCATTTTGCTTTATTCACCTGAATGCAAGTTAAAGGGAAGTGACTGTTACTAATGGCCCCCATTCAGACCTTATTGATTCATACCTGTCAGCTGTTTGAGCTGAGTATGCAACATAGATTGAGGTCTTTTTCTTTAGTAGTTCTGATGGATAACTTTGAAGAGACAGGATAACTGCATTTAAAGAAGAGAAATACATTTTTGCGAATAAATATAAGCAATGTTCTCTGAACTTATTGGAACAGATAACTAGGAAGAGTTATACTATCATTCCCAATTCATGATAACTCCAAAAAAGTGAGTTTATAACATGTTGTTTTGATTACTAGTTTATGTAACAGTTTTATTAAGCTGATTCCAAAGCAATATGTTCCAAAGTGGTTTATATGAGGACACTAATAAATGCAGCATCCCAAGCAAATAGACCAACCAACATTTGGACTGATAATATGAATCATTTCCATTGTCATTTGGAAGACTCTCCAAATTCTTAAGTCTCACATGGCTCAGAAAATCCGAGAGTTCAAAAGTCAAGTCAAAGGCAAATTCAACAAATACAGACACTTCACCCTTGATCTCAAGAGTAATTTCAAAGACATCACTGATTTGCATTTGGTAATCAAAGCAACAGAGAACTGAGAAAGTCGGCCTAATTACTTTCTCCACTGGCCCGAAAGCACCCGACAACCCTTGTTTCTTAGGGTATATGAGAATTTCAGAAATCTCTTTACTCACAAATAAAATCCTCATAGGGTCTAAAAGGAACCTGATAGAGGCTGATTTACAATTGAACTGATATCCTTGAATTGCTTCCCAGTCAATAAATTTCTTTGGAAAGGAACATGAACAGATTCTATCATGATTCCCAAATAATCAAAAACCACACACAAAAAAAAAAAAACACCCATAATATTTAAACAAAGTCATCTCTGTTCTAAACTTATTACTTGTCTTTTTTAGGAGTCATGCACAAATCAATCCTCACCCTTGAAAGAACAATTAGAAAAATAATTAGCTAGAAAAGCACATGTAACTTTTAGTGACAGTAGCAAAATAATGATTAAATAAATAAACCAATTAAATAAACCTAAGTAGTAAATGTGTTCTTGAAAAATTAATTGATTATCTTTGCCTATTTCTTACCAAGGGAAGATGCAATATATATGATTTGGACAATAATGTAAGAAAAGGAAGATCAAAAGAGGCAAGGAAGGGGGTCAATTAATGATAAACATTTATTGAGTAGCTCTGTGTGTCCAGGAAGACTCTGTGGGAACAGAAGTATGTTTCCATTAACTAAAAATCAAGTTGTAAAGAGTAACATAACCAGCAAATGCCAAGCAAAAATTTAGTATTACTGACTTGGAGTCATTAGGGAAGTTGCTCATGAAGAGAAGAATGGATAGTTTGAAGGGAAAAGATTGACAAAGTAAAGAAAGAAGGGAGAGGTGAGGAATAAGAGAATCTTTGTGGGCAGGTACAGTCATAAACATCCAAAACCTCCAAATGTCAAATTTTTCATGTGGGTTCTAAGAACTTATTGCAAAAACGGTGTTAGTCAATTTCTGTCACAGTGACAAAAAAACCCGAGAAAAACAACTTAAAGGAGAAAAGATTAAGTTTAGCTCACAGTTTTTTAGAAGTTTCATTCCATGTTTAGTCGGATCCATTGTTTCTGGGACTGAGGTAGAAAGGAATGGCTAAAGAAAGCGGTTTAGCTCATGGCAGCCTAAAGCAGAGAGACAGGAATGGGTGGGGGAAAGGCTATAGTCCCAAGGTCACACCCACAAAACCCACTCCCTCCAACTAGGTCCCACCTCATGAATAGACCATTCAGCAAAATCCCTTAATGGAGTAATAATCCATTGATGAAGTCAGAGCCCTCATGATCCAATCACTTCCCCCAAATTCCCACCTCTTAACATTCTTGCCTTGGGAACCAAGACTTCCCACATGAGCCTTTGGGGTTGTTTCATATCCAACCCATAACAGAAACCATGAAGGGAGAAGAGATGAGAGAGTAAATATAGGAAAGTAATACCATGTTTTAAGCACTGTTCCTTCTTTCCTTCATTTGACAAATATTATTGAGTTCTACTCCTAGGAGCTTTGAACAATTCCAGACCCTGGGCTTGTGGTGATACCAATAAACAATGTACCCAATGCAGAAAATCAGGTTAAAGAAAAAACAGATATACTATTTAAGGAAAATGGCAGTAGGAAATAAAAAGAAAAAAAGATTTTTTTTTTCTGAAAGGCCTCTATTTATTTTTAGGTCTATTATCAACAAAAACTTACATATGAATTTCTTAAATTTGACATTTATTTTGTGTGCTTATTTTGAATGAAAATCAATCTTTATTATTGATTAATAAAAAGTACAGCATAACTTGTTATACTTGTCAAAACAAGTCAAAACTTACTTAAAATGGAATGCTTAAAAGTATATGTCTCATTGGGGGAAAAAGGTGTCTGTGCTATAGCAAGAGAACAGAATTTTCAGAGGATTCAGATACAGATTTATTTGTTACAAATCTCATAATCCTCTGCTGTTCACTTTTTATTGTGCCAAAATTTTTTTTTACCATTTCTCCATCTCTACTATCTTACATGTTTATAATCTTACATGATTGCCTCTGACTTTTCCCTCTCCCTACATTGACTTTGTATACCATTCCTTTTGTTGATATCAGATTGTTATTACCCCCTGACATTATCTGTCATCCCCAGGCCTCATTCCTTCTCTAATTAATATAATAGTTTCCAGTGTTTCCTTCTGCCAGACATAGAAGTTGAGGCTCCAAGATTGGAACTCCACTTGGAAAGACAACACTTCAATCCTTTCTTCTTGATCAGTTCTACTAAAATGGGTTCTTACTACTTTGCACTCTGATTCAAATCTTTCCCCAGTTCACTGGATACTACTACATATGGAGTCTGTCCAGTCTCCTTCCATTGAGCACTTCGGCTGTTATTATTATTTTTTTTTCCAAGAGTCCAACATGCTTTTTGATCTTATGTTTTTCTTTCATTGATTCAAAAAAAAAATTGAGCATCTCTGTAATTATAAATGTACTAGAGGTTTAATAGGGTGAAGAGGTCTAGGAGTGGAGGGAACAGGACAAATAAATGAATAATTCATTATGTTTTGAAAGTGGGTGGTGACAGAGTCTTGCCCAGGGAGCCTTGGACTCAGGCATCCCATCCTGCTGTGTGGCTGACTCATTTATCAATCTGAAGAAATTCGTTTCTGTCACTACAACATGGTCCACTTTTGTCCATACCCCAAGATTTCATTCATGCTGTCCCTTGTCCTTTTCAGTATTCCCCAAATATGCCTAGATCACATGCCAAATAATAATGAAGTTGTCCTTTTTCTCCTTGCCCTAAACATCTCCTATTTCAATTCCCATGGCACTTTGTTATAGATCTTTTCCCAATTCAATCACATCCTTGTTTGTATCTAGAGTTTATTATCAATATCTTATCTCTTTTACAATCATCTGCCTCTTAAGATGAGCAAATATGACATATATGTATTATTTATATTTCTTTAAATTCACAAAATAGATGTTTAATGTTCTCCAAGCTAAAATAATGGATAATAAGTTGAACAAATAATAAGTTGACAAGCAAACTGAATTGTAAAATCAAACAATGGAGAGGATTGACTACACAAATTGATTCCTGCACACTTGTGACAAAATAACTACATCAACTACTACAAAAATTAATGATTGTAGGAAGGAAAATTGCCACTAACAGACCAGGACCCCCAGCTTTGAAAGGGTTAAGCAGATCTGCCCATAAAGGGGAAAAAAATTGTTCTTCATTTGCCTTCATTAAAGACTAATTTTAGGTCTTTGGGTAATTAAATGAACACATTGTTTATGCTCCATGCACTTTCAGCCCTGAGTCTTGGAAAACACATGAAATTTCCAAGAATTAAAGTTTCCATTAACACAAGTGCCAAAATAAGGAGGACTGACTTGTGGGAGAAAGCACATTTGTCTCTTCTGGCTTCTTTTCAAAAGCTATAGAAAGATATTTACTGTATAATCTTTCTTGTGCGCAATTGCTCTGTTTTATCATCCAGACAATCTGGACAAGAGGGAGAAGTTGCAACATTTCAGAAAGCAACCAATTACCGAGGACCAAAGACTGTTCTGGTGCTGAAGTGCTGACAGCGGTCCCTGTTTGGGGTAAAATTTCTTCATTGAAAAAGACTGTTGATGGTTTCATTTTGTCTATTTTTCTTTCTGTTTCTTTGGTTGTTGTTTTGGGTGTGTGTGTATATGTGTGTGTGTGTGTGTGTGTGTGCGCGCGCGCGCGCGCCTGTGATTCTTTAAGAATTGGCTTTAGCTTGTAAAGAAACAGTCTACTATGGTGGCTTTCGGAATGTCTTCCACCTGTATCGTTCCTTCTAGATGGAAATATAAGGTAAATAAGTGTGTGCGCACACAGCTTGAACACCCCGGAAGAATATTTCCTGATCTCTATATCTGGTTTTATTCATTCTGAAGTAGCCCAGTGATCTAACCAGGTTACAAAATAAAATAAAATAAAAATCTTTTTACGTCAGTGAACTTGGACAGAGCGCCTTTTAAAGACTTGTGTTTCCCGCTGGAGGCAGGGGGTCGCCGCTACTGGAAAAAGAGCTGGTTCTGCGGGTCCCGCCCTCCCGGGTGGTCCCTCCCCCTGGCCCGCTCCCTACCTCCAGAGGACTCGCCTTCGCCCCTACTCCCAGCCCCCTACCCGGTCCCCATCTCTGCGACAATCGTGGCCTCTGAGGTCTGGCGCGCGTCAAAGCCCTAACTGGAAGGCTGATTTGTGGAGTATCACCATCTAGCTCCTCTGCGGCAGCGCTCCTCCGCCCACTGCAGCGGCCGAGGGAGTTGAGCTGAGCCGGGGGGGGGGGGGGGGGGGGGGGGGGGGGGAGGGTAAGATCAACACCCACCCCCCTTCCTCCGGACCTCCCGGCGTTTCAATTCAATTGCACCTTTTATTATTTTAACTCTTCTCGGGAGGACCAGCATCCCTCGGATCGGTCCCTGCGGCATGGGCAGCCCTGCTCCCGCGCGCCGGGATGCGAGAGCGAGGAACCTGCCCACGTTCGGTCAGCGTGTGCGGGGAGGTTGAGCAGCGCTGTCTGCTGCTGCGGCGAGTCTGTAAGTTCAACTCTCCTCTCGGGGACGGGAGGGGGAGACCTCCGCATCCCCGCAAATGATTTAAAATGCAGAACGCAGCAGAGGCTTACCGTGCAGCTTGGACTTTTCGGAGCACACTCCCTTTAACTCTAATCGCAGTCCTCACGCTACTGTCTGGGGTTTCCTTGTATGTTTGACCCCTTCGTTGTAAAGAAGTTTTCAATATACCATGAATTCCGTGGAAAGTTTTTTGGCTGTTTTTTAAAAAATGCATCTTGAAATTTCTTCAACTTTAAAATAATTCCTCAAAATATTCAAGTTCTATAGCACGTCTCTTATTATTCTGTCAGATTACATTTAGCTTGCTATTCATGGTGCGCAAGAAGCCGTGGTCTTTTCTTTGCCTGCTTCTAAAAACAAAGAAGGAAGAATTTCCCTTCTTTACTTTAAACATTGCTAACTAATCTAAATACTTTAACAAGTAGATCTTGCACCCAGCTGCTTTTAATTTTTGTCTTTGACGCCCGGTGAATATTTCCTTGCACTAATCTACAGACGCTGTTAATCGCAGAGAATTATCTTTAAGCCTGCTATTTATATCCGGATTTTGTTTAACTAAGGCGATGCCCATATATATTCAGAGTGAAAAGAAAAAATGAGAACAAATCTCTTGATTCAGACCAAAGTTTTCTCTGGGATCCCAGAACTCCAAGCACAAGTTAGATTGGTGTTTGTATTATTAAAAATCATGCCTTTAGTCGCACATATCCCTTTGCATGTATAAACATATCCCTGAATACAAGGACTAACGACCTAATAAAATGAAAATTTAAAAAGTCTTAATCAACGTTTCCCTCGTGCAGGAGGACAGGCTGGAGGGAAGGAGAGGCAGGTGGATAGTCTGGGTATGGTGACAGGACGATGTTGGCCAGAAAGAGCATCATCCCGGAGGAGTATGTGTTGGCGCGCATCGCCGCGGAGAATCTGCGCAAGCCGCGCATCCGCGACCGCCTCCCGAAAGCCCGCTTCATCGCTAAGAGTGGGGCCTGCAACCTGGCGCACAAGAATATCCGTGAGCAAGGGCGCTTCCTGCAGGACATCTTCACCACCTTGGTAGACCTGAAATGGCGCCACACGCTGGTCATCTTTACAATGTCCTTCCTCTGCAGTTGGCTGCTCTTCGCTATCATGTGGTGGTTGGTGGCTTTTGCCCATGGGGACATCTACGCTTACATGGAGAAGAGTGGAATGGAGAAAAGTGGTTTGGAGTCTGCTGTGTGTGTGACTAACGTCAGGTAAGAATGCAGTGGGATGAGGCAGGAGTTGTAAGCTGTACAGAAAAACAAAAAAAAAAATAAAAAAGTAAAAATGCCCTTTCTCTATCATTCTCTCATTTGTTGAAAATGAAATAGTTTGTTTTAGACCCTTCAGAAATTAAAAAAAAGAAAAAGAAAACAAAATAAAGAAAAAAACTAACACGTTAAAAATACATGATTGTAGCTTATGTATAAAGAGTCTCTGAAAAGGTGGAGCTTCTATCCTTTGGGCTAACCTTGAAAATATTATATTAGTTATTTAAAAGCTGTTTTAGATCAAAGGATTTCTTACTCCAAAAGCATGAATTTCATTTTCAGTATAAACGAGCTGCTGTCCATAGTTTCAAGGTCCACAAGTTAATCTCCATCAACCAAAAGTAATGTGCAAATGTAAGTAGTGTCTTTCCATGACTTTTCTTATTCGTAACATTCAGAAATTAAGAGGAAGGCACTGGGGAAAAGGAAGAAATATCTTAAAATTTAAAATATGCTAAAAATAAAATAAATATTTTTATTTATTTTATTCTTTATCAAGATTATCTTAAAATAGGTAATTGCTTGTAATGGATTCATAAATTAAAAGGTATTCTAAGATTCAGGACTAGAAAATACTAAATTTTAATGGAAATTGGTCCAAAATTTTTATGGAAGGAATTACATAAGAACAATTTAGTATTTCAGTCCTTTTTCAAAGTTCTAATAGAACAGACACAAGACAGTTCTTAAATTACCTAGCTTTGACTTCTTATAAGTATTTCAAAGACAGGTAGAGTACATTTAATATTCAAGGTTCTCCTCTCTTACTTTCACATGGTTGAAAACTATTTAGTTTGAGTGATTTTTTTCTTAATTTATTTTATTGGAATATGAAAATACATAATTCATAGTGATTCAAAAAATGTTCACTCTGAACTGAAATATAATAGTACTGCAAAAATTTCTAGAACATTTTCTGAATAATGTTCCAAATTCACATAATACACAAAGCAAAGAAACTTGAACAAGTACCATATTGCCAGGAAAGTATAAAGAATGAGATCTTTAGTGACCCTGAAATCTTATGAAACTGGTATACTACTCCAAGAAGCAAACCCCCAGACTATGGACTTGTCCATTCTTCCATTTGTTAATTAGCTGCAGTGTCAGCCATTTAAAGAGAAATGCAGCGTTAGCTTTGATGTTGCACTTCACAGATTTCATCTCAGATTTTGAGGAGGGAACACTGTATTTAATTAATCCTCTGCTTTTACCATTGTGTAGATATTATTTTCTTTTCTCAAACTTGTCACAAACTTTTGCCTCAAAGAAAATATGGGTGAAAAACAGGTGATCATCAGTACACTAGATGTAAAGGACACAAAATTTTGTGTTCAACAGGTATTTGAAGATGAAATACCATCTGTAATATTGCATCTCTCTTTAAGAAACTTATTGGCACTGATATTGGTGAATCATTTCATATCAAAATGAATTCGATAAATATGAAGTAGGAACTAAATAAAATAAATAATGATAAACCTTGAAAATATATGACAGATTTTACTCACAAGAAAAACATATTGTCTTTTTCTATTAAAAAGATGTAACTTAGTAATCTTTAAAAAGAAATATTATCAAAAGAACTATCATTAAAAGAATTTTACAGAGTGCACTGATTATTGAAACTGTTCTCTGCTGCATTCTAATTTTCAAATAAGTTGTTCTGAAGAATGTTCATTTTCTTGGTGCATTCCTGTTGGTGTGAACTATGAGAAACATGTCAAAAAATTCAATAGAGCAAAGTTAATTTTATCAACCTAACAAGGTTTGCATTTTAAATGACATTTCTATTTCTTACTTTAAATTATTTGGCTTTTTTTTTTTTTTAACATTCAAGATGTTTTAAATTTTGAACACCTTAGAAGGAAATTAGTTGCTATCTTAGCAGTTTTTCCACCTGAATTATTTGACATTGTTTCTGTTCTTACTGATGTTAATGTTATGTTACTATTTATGCTTTTACCTCAACAGTTTAATCATAACTAACCATACATTACATTTTATTTCATTAAAAATACAAAAATATTTATTCTCTCCTGCATGGAACTTAAAAGATGACTAATAATAATTTAATTGTTTGAATTTCCTTTCCTTTCATAAGTTCAGTGTTCAGCCATATCATCAAAATTCAAACTTTTTTCAATGGATATTCACCAGTATTTCCAAACACCATTTGACCATTCTCATTTTAGGATTACCCACTTTCTTCTTCATGTAGATGACTTTCTAATGAGTCTAAAATAGAAAATTTATCTTCTTTATTATTATTATTCAGTCTAACTCTCTCTGTAGAGAACAAAGAAGCAACCAACTGCTTTCATCTCTTGGGACTGTTTAGCATGACAGATGTCCACAAAAGATTGGGTCTTGTACCATACATTTGTTTAAAATTAAATTTTTTTCATAAAATAAACAATATGAAAACAAGGTCCATGAATAGTTTGTATTAAAATAGGACATTTAGGGATATTCATCATTAGACTGCTTCCTGAAGCATGGACCATTGTTAATAATCAATATTGTATCCACACCTCTCCTCTGGGGTCCATTTCTATTCTTTGCCATATTTTTGGACTACACTGTGTATCTTGTGGTATGTAGCTAGTGCAATAGACAATTATTATAGTTTTCTATGAATCCTCTTAGAAACAACAAAGAAAAAAAGAGCAAATTTCACACTCCATTTAAAAGCTAATCAATTTCTGTATAATTACTTACCTCTCCTGGTTTCCTGCCAAAATACACAGTGTATACTAAGTACTCAAACCTTTTGCTCATTCGCTGTGCCTGGCATTGATAGATAATACCTTGACAGATGGCTGATGTATGGCTAGTCTTCTAATAAAATTAGAAAAGTTTAAAGTTGGGGTGGGTTGCAAAAATAGAACTGTTGTTCCCATGAAGAGGTTATGGCAATATTGGATATGTAGTGAAGTAAATTAATAATAACTAAATATGGTGCTTCTCAATGGGGGAAAGGGGTTGGTAAATAAATCAGAATCACCTGAGAGTTTTTCCGTCTTACTCAGGTCTATGCTGAGCCTGTCAAATCCACGTCTATTCACTAAGATGTGGAGGAAATGAACAATTTGAAAAAGCTTCTCAAGGAAATTCTGACACTTGTTGGCCTCTTCCTTTTTCTCCTTTCAGAACAGAATTGGGCCAGAATTGAGAGGATTCAAGTTTGCATTGATCACATAATCTTCACATAGTCATTTACTAACCTCAGACTCAAATTCTTCCTTTAATACCTTCAATATTCCCTAGATCACTTCCAGGGATAGCCAATAAGGAGCAGTTTTCTTTTAAAGTAGGGAAATGTTTTCTATTTTTTAAAAAAGCTAGTATTTTGGAATATACTTTGCGTGGCTTCTTTAGCACAGTGTTTTCTCTATATGAGGTACACAATATGTGTTAGCTTACAATTATGATTTTAAGTGTTATAAATAATAAAAAGTTTACTTATTACTTGGTACCTTCCATATGACTCAAGTCTCTCTTAAACATGGATATGCAATAAATAATAAACTTCTGGGCATGGTACACATGCCTATAATCCTAGTGGCTGGGAGGCTGAGTCAGGAGGATTGCAAGTTCAAAGCCAGCCTCAGCAACATAGCAAGGCCTTAAGAAACTTAGTAAGACTCTGTCTCAAAATAAAAGATAAAAAGGGCTAGGGATGTGGCTTAATGGATAAGCACCCCTCAGTTCAATCCTTGGTACCAAAAATAAAAACAAAAAAAACTTCTACCTGGTAGAAAGTTTCATCAAGCAAACTAAGCTTTTTTGATAGTAAAGCATTTCACAAAGTAAAATATGCCTATAATATAATTGATATTTATTGTATATATTTATTGTATTAATGCTTTCATACAGGCACATGTCCTAGACAACAGAAGTATAGAGGTATATGCATAAATAGATGCAAGAGAGAGATGAGAGAGAGAGAGCAGTCTTGTTTTTAAAATTAAGCATTTGACATGTAAAGATGGCTACTCTTTCTAAAAACTTTTAATAGCCTTTAGGGTCTAAAAAAAAAAATGTTCAGGTAGGGATATTATTCAAACTTTGACCTGATGGCATTTTCTTCTGATATCATCCCTTGCAGGTCATTCACCTCTGCTTTTCTCTTCTCCATTGAGGTTCAAGTGACAATTGGATTTGGAGGGAGGATGATGACAGAGGAATGCCCTCTGGCCATCACCGTTTTGATTCTCCAAAACATTGTGGGTTTGATCATCAATGCCGTCATGTTAGGCTGCATTTTCATGAAGACAGCTCAGGCTCACAGAAGGGCAGAGACTTTGATTTTCAGCCGCCATGCTGTGATTGCTGTCCGAAATGGTAAGCTGTGCTTCATGTTCCGAGTGGGCGACCTGAGGAAGAGCATGATCATTAGTGCCTCAGTGCGCATCCAGGTGGTCAAGAAAACAACTACACCTGAAGGGGAGGTGGTACCCATTCACCAACTGGACATACCTGTTGATAACCCTATCGAGAGTAATAACATCTTCCTGGTGGCCCCTTTGATCATCTGCCATGTGATTGATAAGCGCAGTCCACTGTATGATATCTCAGCAACTGACCTTGTCAACCAGGACCTGGAGGTCATTGTTATTCTAGAAGGAGTGGTCGAAACAACCGGCATCACCACGCAAGCGCGAACCTCCTACATCGCAGAGGAGATCCAGTGGGGCCACCGCTTTGTGTCCATTGTGACTGAGGAGGAAGGAGTGTATTCTGTGGATTACTCCAAGTTTGGCAACACTGTTAAGGTGGCAGCTCCACGGTGCAGTGCCCGGGAACTGGATGAGAAGCCTTCCATCCTCATTCAGACCCTCCAAAAGAGTGAACTGTCCCATCAAAACTCTCTGAGGAAGCGCAATTCCATGAGGAGAAACAATTCCATGAGAAGGAGCAACTCCATTCGAAGGAACAATTCTTCCCTCATTGTGCCAAAGGTGCAGTTTATGACTCCAGAAGGAAATCAGAACACATCAGAATCATGACAGCAGGGCAACCTCATGACAGGAGTTTTACTGTGAGTGTCAGATGCCCTGTCACACTAAACCAGAGCTATAGCACAATGACGTGGCTTACGTTTTAATGCACTAAAAGATTTTCTTATTCAAGAAATTGCACTTTCTGTATTAATAAACAACACAACACAGAGGACTTGTGGCTTACACTGTTTCACACATGCAGAATCTGCAGCAGTAGACTCAAGTTATGCACAGAAAGTGGTCTGCCCTCATTTCTCTTGGTATGAAACACAAGAACTCCGTTAATAGTTATGGACCTTGAATATAAAATTTGGCCAAGGAATGAGTCTGTTTGAAATGCTTAGTTGGTGAAAACAAATGTCTCTGTTTCTATTGTTCGCTCTGGGAATGTAAATAAAATAGGAGGGGAAAAAAAAAAAAACCAAAATCATGTTAAATACCATTTGTATTCTAATGTTCTCCTTTCTTCATGATACTGTATCTGGTAAGAAACCTAAAGCAAGTTTCTTAGGTCTGTATGTCTATGAGCAATCCAGGTCTTCAAAATGACTCCAGGAGATTTCCTGATTCTCCTGACGGCCTGTTGGGCAGAACTGGGCAAGGGATCTGAGGAAAAGCTGACTCCTGTCTCAAGTAGGACTGGATTTCCAAATAGTGACAGTCATTTCCTTCAGCTTCCCACTTCTTACCAGCCCCCCACAGAAAAATACTGTATTAAATATTTTATTAAAATATTTTCCTTGTACTCTCTGTAGTTTTGTATTCCTCTTTCACAAAATCACCTCAAAAAAAGCATTTTCAGAGGATAGAAAGATGTCTTAATAGTAATGACACTCTCCTGAGATTCTTTCCTTGGATCTCTTGCTCCAAGAGAACTGTGGTTTTTGTTGGGTTTTATATCATTTTGAGTTTTTAAATGTTCTCTTGGTTTTTCTTTCTGAGCCTGACGTGGAAATCCTGTAAGGTATTTTTCTTTGAATCTCCCACCTCAGATCTAAAACAATACTTCCTTTCCAGCAATATCTGAATTCAGGTCTGGTGTACATAGATTTACCACAATCTCATTTGTTAAAAGAAGATTTTCTATCAAAGTTTGCCTTCTTCATCCTTAGTCTATCTCATTCGATAAAGTGAGATTTTCTATGGAAGCTTGATATGATCATCCTTAGCTCCTGCTTCTTCATGGAAGGAGTGAGAAGAGAAAAGTGCTGGGTTAATAAGACATGTATGATTTAGTCTTGTAACTCATGTAGCTGTATCTGAAAGCTGAGCTATTATGTAGGCTTTTACACAGAGTTTTGAGTTGAAATTATTTAATTTCATTTATGAATATGGAACCAGACAGGTAATCATGAGTATGTCCAAATTTTGTCTTAAACAAAAGACTTGAGATTCTAACCAGGTGAATGGGAAACATTTATCAGAGTATTCACCTGATCATACCTGAAAAAGTTCTGTTAACTAAATCTATAGGCCAAACATACTTGAAACTCTGCTAGGATACCTAAAAGCATTTGAATTTGTTTGTGTGTAAAACCCAATGCTTCATTTCTACTCACAAAACTGTGCCCTCCCCCTGTCTTTCTCCTAATCACTCAGGCCAACACTTAAGAATCACACTGGACACCTTGTATACCATTCATTAGCAAATCTTAGCTCTGCTTTCAATATATTTTCAGAATAGATCAATGCCATCTACCACTTCCTTCTTGGTCCAAGCAGGGTTACTTATGCCCCAGTATATAATATGAATTCAGCTATATCATTCTTAGAATATTGAAAGAGTTCCATATAAGTTGCTAAAGAACATCTATTTCAAAAAGATCCAGACCTACAGCCACAAAAGAAGTGGCTATCAGACTTCCTAGCAATTCTGGAGCAGACGCAGGTGCTGCCTCCCCATCCCCTGGTGGTTGAGCAGATCTAGAAAGCAGCTGTTGCACTAGCAATAAGAATGCATAGTGCCCATCCACTCCTCAGCAGGGGCCCAACCACATAAGGTGATCCCACTGCAGGGCAGGAAATATTGGACATTGTCAATGGGGCTGAGATATAAGATTCCTGAATCCAGGTGGTAGAGAATGTCCTGGCATCAGGGCCAAAGCCAGCTGTGGAATATGGGCAGTCCCCCCACACACACACCTGCCAGTGGGGCACCAAGAACCTGATGACCATCAGCCTAATGCAAAAGTCAATAGAAAGGTTTAATGGGGCTCCCTAGGTTAAGTCATGACTCACATGGGGACAAAATTTAGGTAGTGATAGTCACATCCAACAAGATCACATCACCAACTTCTAAAAATCCACAAATATTTTAGAAAATTAAAATAATATTATAGTCTATTTTGGTAAATTATGTTTATTTCACTAGGTAAATGATTTGAGAACTATATAATTTAGTTTTAGAAAATGAGAAGACCATGTATGTGCATGTTTCTCTCTCTCTCTCTATATATATATATAAGTATGCACACACATTTGTTTTTATATATGATTGTTACTTATATGTTGAATTTAAATGTAACTTTATATCCCACGTTTAGTTTCTCTTCTTTCACCAAAGTCTTCTCACTGTAGCCACAATAGTCTTTTAAATCACAAATCACATTATACCATGCCTTTTCTTTAAACTATGGTTTTTCGTTCTTCACAAATGAAAACCAAAATCCTTACCTCAGCCAATAGTGACTGCATTTTATTGTAACCCCCACTCCCCTTTTCTCCTAGTCATTCCCACACTTTACTACAGTGGAGCTTTTGATCCTTGAAATAGAAACAGAAGTACTTCTCCTGTATCATAGATTTGCTTCTACCTGGGGCATTTCTTCCAGAAAACCCCAAGGTCCTCTCCTGTCATCATTTAGGTCTCTGATCTAGGTCATTTTATGTAGCAATACAGTACAGTGGTTAAGAAAATAGACTCTATAGGTTTAAATTTAAATTTTGACATTTAGCATCTGTGAGACCTTGACAAAATTAATGTCCTTGTGCCTCTGTCTCCCCATATATAAAAACAAAATGATAATAGTATCTACCTCACGAGTTATTGTGACGATTAAGTGAATTGGCATGTATCAAGGGCTTTAAAGAGTTTAATTCATTCTTCCAGGGTAAATTCTTGAAATAAAGGACTGCCTAGAAATAAATTGTTTTCTTATTAAATGACTAGTTCATTACATTTAATCTCTAGGACAGAGATAAAAGGCCTTTGTAACATGAATCTGATCTAAACTCTGTAGCAGAGGCTATAACTGCCCGCTCTCAGTTACTTTTCCTAATTCTTTGACACCTGGCACTTGCCTCTTTCCAAATATTGTCATATGTGACATACTACACTGTATAGAGGAAAACGTTTTGCATACAGAGGAGATTTCTGGCTCTGCATGTCTATCATTTATTTATTCACTTAGTGATATATATGAAACATCTGCCTTGTCTCACATTGACCATCTGGCAAAAATAGCCAGGTGTGTTTATTCTCTTGAAGGAGGATCAGAAATTGATATAGCCAAGGGCTGGGCTGATTCTACACCCAAGTAAGCAGAGATAGAAAGGACTGGGTGAGAAAAGCTGTATTACATGCCAGAATAGAAGAAAAGTCGTTTAAATCTCTAAATCCAAGTCAAAACCTACCCTTGGTTACTGAGCAGGCATGAGAAGATGGTGGGTGTTGGGAACAGAACTATTGTGCAGTTGGCTTTGCTGAGAGCTGGGTAAGAAAATGGAACATGACTATCCTTTGAACTGTCATCTTTCCCTGTCCTACTTTGTCCCAATCCCACAGATCTAGTACACAATTCCCTGTTATTTGCCACTTAGCTCAAGACTCTCTGTGAGGGAAAATCCTGTTACCCATGCCCACAGATATTTCTAAACATCCCTGGCCAAGTGTTCTGACACATGCATGTGTCTCAGAACCCATGATGTCCCAGTGACTTAAGGAAATGCCCTTAGTTCTCAAAGAAAGTCTAACTCCCAGAGAAGAAGTTGTCCACTTAGTGACATGAGACAGCATTTTCTCCCTCCAATAGTTGGAATTATGCTGCTGTTGTTAAATGATTTGGGGTTCATGGAGCAAAAATTTCCTCTTTGACAATAAATCATTCATAGATAAAGAAGGAAGAATGAAAAGATATCTACATCTCCCAGGGCTCCCACCCCCAAATTTTGTTATTTTGAGCATGTAGAAGGTAGAGGCCGATCTGAAATTTGTGTCTCCAAGGACCAGTGCACTAAAGTAATCACAACAAATCCTACAGGCTGTTGAGGAGGAAACTCAAGGGCCATGCTCTTCCCATGATCTTTATACACAATTCTCGTCAATGGTAATGGGAATTTCCCCACAGACCTAGGAAGGATGTGACTCCAATTACACCCTTGATAATTTACCGCACGGATTCAAGTTCAAGTTCATGAAGACCTTAATCAGCTTTTAACCTCGGATCAAAATATCACACTGAAGTCCAAATTCATTTTAGACTATTTACTTCTTCATTATTACACATTTTCAAGAGGTGTCCCTGTTCTCACGAGGATTTTCTTGGCTGTACTGAATGCAAGCCCTCCTTCCACTCCAATGCTCTCTCGAAGAGCTGAAATAAAATTATTGCATTACAAAGTGTGGGAGGGGAGTTAATTACTTGAAAAAAAATAGGGCTGAATTTCCAGGTACTACTGAGTTGCCTCAGTATGTATAGCAAAGTGAAGGATAAAATTATCTATAAAATTGAAGATACCCTTCTCACTGAAAGGGTACAGATTATCAAATTAATTAATTTCAAAAGCCTTCAGTTATTTGCCACTAATTGTTGGGAAAAGTCCATACTCTAAGAATGATAGTCTTTGTGGTTTAATTCCAACACACCTCTGCAGCTTCATTTTCTAACCCTACCCCCAATACTGTACAATGTGTCAGGTTCCTTGAATGCTTCATTAACAGTCAGTCTCTTATTCAAATCTGCAAATTTGGGGGGTTGAAATTCCTCACTTTCTTATACCAAAATTATACTTTTCCAAACCCTTCTGATATCTCCCACCTGAATCATCCCTTCTTCATCCTCATAACATGTGCTTCTGTTTATTCATTATTTCATAATAACTGGTTTTATATAATTTTCTGATACCATATACATATCTCCCCACTAGATTATCTTTTCTCCAAGCTGCTAATCACAGTGCTTGCATAAAATAGGTGATATTAGAAGCCTGATAGTTGTCCCCCTCAAATCCATTCTTCCTTTTCTTCATAGCAATAGCATGTTAGCTGGACATGTGACCATTTAGCTAGAGACTATACATTCCCCAATCACTGTGTTAGTCATGGCCATGTGCCCCATTGGGTTGACTGATAGTCTTTGAACAGCAGCCAATGGACTACCTCCAGTTCCTGATTTTAAAACCCCTGAGCTTGTGTGTCTATACCTGTTTCCCCTCCCCATGGACTTATCACATATGTGATAGAGATCCAGGTTTGACCAAACTGACAAAGACAAAAATCTCTAGAGCCAAAAGATGGAAGCAACCTTGCATGCTAAGTAACTTTGTGCAATAGAGCTGCACCAGGACTGGCTATATCTAGACAGTTATCTGAAAGAGAAATAAATATCTATTTGATTTTAGGTATTTTGGGGGGAAGGGGAGGATATTTCTTATCATTTATTCACTTTTTTTTTACTATAGTATAGTTTAGACTTTATCCTGAATAATGCAATGCTAAATTGGATCAAATGGAAACGTAAGTCTGAG